TATATATATATATAGAGAGAGAGAGAGAGAGAGAGAGAGAGGAAGTTTTTCAGACAGTTTTTCAGGAAGTTTTTCAGAAATTTGTGTATGTATATACATATATATATATAATATAATATAATATAAACATATATACAGTATTTTCAAAGAGGGTAGAAAGAAGTGCACATTAATAATAAAAATTAAAAGCAGAAAAGAAAAAAAGACAAAAATGTAGAAAGAATAAAAAAGAAATAAAATAAAAGAAATGAAAAAAAAAAGATTCTGATATCCTTTGCAGCTTTCGTGCTAAGGCAGGACTAGAACTCACCATCTCCTGATGACTGACCCAAAGGCACCCAGCCAGCTTTCATGCCTGAGTTGGGACTAGAACTTACCATCTCCTGGTAATTGCCACAAACTCATCCAGCTGGCTTTCGTGCCCTAAGGCAGGACTAGAACTCACCGTCTCCTGGTCATTGACTCAAAGTCATCCGGTCAACGTTCATATGTAAGGCAGCACTAGAACTCAATGCATCCTGCTTTCTAGCCTGGTGCCTTAACCAGTAGACCAAATTAGCTCTCCTGACTAATCTTCTGGATCAACCTGAATGGGATAAATCCTGGCCGAGATCCCAGGTTCTTGGCCAGGCAAACCATGTTCAAGTGAGGTTTTACCAGCATTCAGAACTGAATTTAGGGGTTGTGTGAACAAAACCCTTTTCTCCTTTGACCTGCTGTCTGTTAAAGGCAGCAGCAGCAACAACAACAACAATAATAATAATAAAGTTGGAAGGGACCTTGGAGGTCATCTAGTCCAGCCCCTTGCTCAGGCAGGAAACCCTATACCATTTCGGACAAATGGCTGTCCAGTCTCTGTTGCATTTCATCAGCAAGTTATTTCCCTGGAAATGTGGCTTCTGTTTTTCCGCCTCTTGTTCCAGAAGGTTTTAGACCAGTGGTTCTCAACCTGTGGGTCGGGACCCCATTTGGGGTCGAACGACCATTTCATGGGGGGTCGCCAAACAACGCAGTCCGCCATTTTTCCCCCCTGGTCCTTAGCTGTGCTACTCCCTTTTATTCTATTGGCTTTTGAAAGCCAGTAGAATAGATTCTCTTGAATAGAGTCTAATTCTATTGGCTTTCAAAAGCCAATAGGAATTGTCCAGGTGTCTCTGCCCTGCTGAGCCCGCCAAAAGTCCCATTCTGCAAACGGTGCTGCACCAGTTGAGTAGTCCTCGACTTACGACCGGTTGAGTAGTCCTCGACTTACGACCGGTTGGGGGCCGCGGCATTAAAAAGGTTGAGAACCACTGTTTTAGAATTTCTGTTGCAATTCGCCAGCAGGTCATTTTCCTGGAAATGTGGCTTCTGTTTTTCTGCTTCTTGAGAGCCCTTGGTGCTCTCTGAACTTGGTTATTTTCTTGTAGACGTTTCATTACCCAAACTCGGTAACATCATCTGTGCTCATCCTAGCACGGATGATATTACCTAGCTGGGTTATGAAACGTCTGCTAGAAAACAACCAAGCTTCACACGGCAGCAAGGACTCCTCATTTCAACCCTGAGCCACAAAAACTCTCCTTTTTTTTGGGTTTCTGCCTCTTAGCCAGGAAAATTGAGAATTTCTGTTGCGTTTCGCCAGAGGCGTGCTTCTCCTGGAAATGTGGCTTCTGTTTTTCCGCCTCTTGCTCAGGAAGGTTGAGAATTTCTGTAATAAATAAATAAATAAATAATAGTTGGAAGGGACCTTAGAGGCCATCTAGTCCAACCCCCTGCTCAGGCATGCAAACCCTATACCATTTCGGACAAATGGCTGTCCAGTCTCTTCTTAAAAACTTCCAGTCTTGGAGCGTTCACCACTTCTGGAGGCAAGGAGTTCCCCTGGTTAATTGTTCTCACTGTCAGGAAGTTTCTCCTTAGTTCTAGGTTGCTTCTCTCCTTGATGAGTTTCCATCCGGAGGCAAACAGATGAAGAAAGTATAGTTGGACCTTAAAATACTGAACGCATGGCACTTTTGCTGAAATGGCTCCATCTATTTTTTTAAAAAAAAAAAATAGTAAAAAAGTGCTTTTGACTTTTTTTTTTTTTTAAATGCCTTTTCCGGGATGATTGGCTGAGAGATGGTTGCGCGATTCACTGAAAAGTGCAAATTCCACACCCCTCCCGGGTTGAAGGGGCCTGTTTTTAATTTGAATTATTTATGCTTGCAGATGGCTGCCCCCTTTGGTGCCAATGACTCTCCCAGAGAGCCTTTTTCCTTTTTTAAAAAAAAATATAACTTTATTGATTGAAGCAAATTGAAAGATAAGGGGGGGGGAAGAGTCCAAAAAAAAAAAAGAGAGAGAGAGAGAAACTGGAAAGAACAACCTACGAGAAACAACTTACTTTCCTTGGTACAGAGGTCAATAAAACAAAATGACAAAAAAAAAAAAATCCCTTTTAAGGTGAACGCCTCTCTGCGTTATTTCTTGAAGCTCCGAAGATTTTAATCTTCAGACCTCCCCATCCACCGTTTATTTCTTTTTTAGCTTCTTGCAAAAAGATAGAAAAGTGGTTTCAAGTAGAAATACAATTAAGTCAGCCTTTCTGGAGAATTTCAAAAAAAGAAAAAGAAAAAAAATTCTCTTTAAGCTTTTGAGCAGGATCTTTCCTAATCGTGGAGAAAAAATGATTCTAGTCCTCATGGTTCTCAAGAACGCACTCCCTGACATAAGAAAGCAAAAATGCTTTTTTTTTTCAAGCTGAAGCCACGGTTTCATCTAGGTTTATATGTCTGATGGCCCTGCTAAAGGGTTTCAGGCAGGAGTCTAGCTAAGCCGGGCCTAAAGGCAATTATAGTAGTAGTAGTAGTAGTAGTAGTAGTAGTAGTAGTAGTAGTAGTAGTAGTAGTAGTAGTAGTAGTAGTGATCAATATACTACAAGGAGGAGAAATTGAAAAGTGGCTAACAACTGGGAAAACCTACCTAATAATGAAAAATCCAGCAAAAGGGGCAACACCAGGCAACTACAGGCCAATTACCTGCTTACCAACAACTTTCAAATTACTAACTGGTGTGGTAGCTGAGGCAGTACAACAGCATCTAGTTGAAAACAATCTCTTTCCACCTGAGCAGAAAGGAAACCGCCCCAATAGCAGAGGAACAAAAGATCAACTCCTAATAGACAAAATGATCTTGGAAAAATGCAAGAGAAGGAAGACCAACCTGAATGTGGCATGGATTGACTACAAAAAGGCATTTGACTCTCTGCCACATGATTGGATAATAAAGTGCCTAGAAATAACAGGAGTCAGTAGAAACATCAGAAATTTTGTGCAAAGATCGATGGCACAATGGAAGACACAGTTGCAGATCAATGGTGAGAGGCTGGGAGAGGTTAATATCAAGAGAGGAATATTTCAAGGAGATTCATTATCACCATTACTATTTGTTATTGCACTGTTTCCTCTGTCAACAATACTGAATAACTCAGGACATGGCTATCAAACATCAAAAACATCTGCCAGACTATACCACCTCCTTTATATGGATGATCTGAAGCTGTATGGAAAAACATCATCTGAAATAGAATTGCTGCTCAACACTGTCCGTATATATAGCCAAGATATTGTAATGGAGTTGGGCTTGGACAAATGTGCCACACTTACTATCAAACAAGGAAAAGTAGTGAAAAGGTTAAAACATATAAGGAATGGTTGCAGGAACTGGGTATGTCCAGTTTAACGAAGAGAAGGACGAGGGGGGACAGGATAGCAGTCTTCCAGTATCTCAGGGGCTGCCCCAAAGAAGAGGGAGTCAATCTGTTCTCCAAGGCGCCTGAAGGCAGGACAAGAAGCAACGGATGGAAACTCATCAAGGAGAGAAGCAACCTAGAACTAAGGAGAAACTTCCTGACAGAACAATTAACCAGTGGAACCACCTGCCTCCAGAAGTGGTGAATGCTCCAACAGTGGAAGTTTTTAAGAAGAGACTGGACAGCCATTTGTCTGAAATGGTATAGGGTTTCCTGCCTGAGCAGGGGGTTGGACTAGATGACCTCCAAGGTCCCTTCCAACTTTATTATTATTATTATTATTATTATTATTATTATTATTATTATTATTATTGATCATCACACAGTCAGCCAGATGTTCAGACTGGATTTGGCATTTTTGTCTACCAATCTAGTCCTTACCCAGGACCTGGAATAGGCAGATGTGGATGTTTGATGGTATTACAGATATCCTCTATTACAGTGGTTCTCAACCTGTGGGTCGGGACCCCATTTGGGGTCAAACAACCATTTCACGGGGGTCGCCAAACAACGCAGTCCGCCATTTCCCCCCCCCCTTTTCCTTAGCTGTGCTACTCCCTTTTATTCTATTGGCTTTTGAAAGCCAATAGACTAGACTCTCTTGAATAGAGTCTAATTCTATTGGCTTTCAAAAGCCAATAGGAATTGTCCAGGCTGTCTCTGCCCTGCTGAGCCCGCCAAAAGTCCCCTTCTGCAAACGGTGCTGCACCAGTTGAGTAGTCCTCGACTTACGACCGGTTGGGGGTCGTGGCATTAAAAAGGTTGAGAACCACTGCTCTATTATTATTTACCTCTACCATTTCAGACAAAAGGGCTGTCCGGTCATTTGGCCCATGCTTGCAAAAAACGAACAATCTTGCTGGCTGTTGCATTTGCGCACCCCCCCCACCCCCCCCCCAAAAAAAAGAACTTGGAGACTCCCCACTCTGAACTGGGCTCGGGACGGGGGGGGGTCTTCGCGATCGCTGCAGCTCTCCCCACCAGCTGTTCCCAACGCGGGCGACCCTCCCCGCCCCAGCTGTTGCCTGCTGCGCTTCCCCTCCCCTCCCCGGACCAGAGCAGACCGGCGCGCCTGCGCAGACCCCTCCCCATTTATGTGGGGTGGGGGGGGCAGAGGAGTTTCCCCCCCCCTCCAGCCCTGGGAAGCCTGGGCTCCAGGAGGGATTCCCTCCCCTCCCTCTTGGCAGAGGGGCGGGGGCACGCAGGGGCGGGGCCTTGGGAGGCTCCACCCCCTCCCCTCCCTTCCCCGGGACCAGCCTAGCATTGCAGCGGCAGGCCGGGCGCGCAGAGAGCCGGGCAGGGCGCAGCGATGGTGGGGCGGCTGAGTCTCCCGGACGCGCCGGAGCTGCCCGACTCGAAGCGGCCGCTGGACAGTCCCGACTCCGGCTTGCCGCCCAGCCCCAGCCCCAGCCCGGCCAGCTGGCTTGCTCAGGGGCTGCCCGAGCCGGAGAGCGCCGCCAAGCCGCCGGGCAAG